TTTTTCCCCAAGTTGAGTCTGTTTTGCCCAGGACCTTAATCGGTGAAAAACCCTCCTTGTCCTTTGTCTAAACCCATGAGCTTTGTCCTCCTCATCACAGTGTGTGTGTGTGTGGGAGGGGGTAGGTGTTGAGGGAGCGGTCACAGGACTGCTCCTTTGTTGCCATGTTGTCCCAAACCACGACATTAATGACTAGCCAGACAAGAGAGGGATCAGGAACCATGACAAAAAAGTGTAAACTTTATATACTTCTTTGCACAAGAAAAAAAGGGAAGACCATATTAATCACAAAGTTAGTTGAATTTTTTTCTGTTTGGCTGTGATTTGTGGAACTGAAGTGAAAAACTGCAATGCGAGCAAGCAAAAGACCAATGCAGCTAATGGAATTACTCTTGACTCAAATGAAGCCTTTAGTAACAGGTGAACTTTAATGAAGGAATACAGCTGAAAATAGCTCCCAAACAACAACCAGGTCTGTAGTGCAAACATTTCCCCGCGGAAATTGTGAAACAAAGGGACAGACAAGTTTCATTCACTCCGGAAACCTGTAAGAGACCCTGGAGAACAATTCCCTAGAAAGGAGTGAAAGAAGATTATAGCAGCAAAAAAAAACATGAGCATCCACCACATACTGGAAAACCCATTCCACACAGCACCAAAGGATGAGAGTAACAATTTGTTTTGTTTTAAACATGCTAGCTGTATTATTTCTATTTCAATGCAGCCCCTAAGTTGCATTAAACCTATTGCCTTGAAGACCTGGGCTCAATTATTAGCAACAGCATAGCCAGCAGATAGGAGCAAATATTCTCTAGTAAGCAACTTGTGAAACTGTATTTGGGGCACTGTGTCCAGTTTGGGGATCCCAATAGGAGAGAGACATTCCAAGATAGAGCAGATGACGAATGAGTAGGAACTGACTTTGTTCAGTCATCAGCAGAAACGGCTAAGGGAAGGATGAACATTTCTTCTATCTTCAGCTTTGCAGTAGAAGTGCATAGAAAAGATTAAATTGAACACTTGGAGGCACACAGAGAAAAGACACAAGTCAATGAACACAAGGGAAAAGATGGGAGAACATCATTACATATTACAAGTTTCTTACAGTTGTCACTGGAACAGGTTTCCCAGAGAGACTGAAGAATCTCCATCCCTGGAGTTATTCAAAACTCAACTGGATATGCTCTTAAGCAATCTGATCTAGCAGGATCTTCTTTCA